GGGGCCGCGACAACGGCAGGGGGCTCCGCGGCAGCTGCTGCAAGGCGGGGCCGCGACTGCTGCAGGGGGCTCCGCGGCAGGTGCTGCAGGGCGGGGCCGCGACTGCTGCAAGGGGGGGGGGGGGGGGGGGGGGGGGCTCCGCGACGAGCAGGGACGACGCCCAGGGGGCGCCGCGATGAGCAGAAACGACGCCCCGTGGGCGCCGCGACGAGTAAGGGCGACGCCGCGGGGGCGCCGCGACGAGCAGAGACGGCGCCCAGTGGGCGCCGCGACGAGTAAGGGCGACGCCCCGGGGACGCCGCGACGAGCAGAGACGGCGCCCAGGGGGCGCCGCAACAAGCAGGGGGGGGACGCCGCAGGGGCGTCGCGATGACCAGGGTCTAGGGCGGCGCGCGGGCTGCAGAGGCAGCTCCCACGGGCTGCAGAGGCAGGCACGGCTGCAGGGGCAGCACCCGGGCTGCAGGGGCAGGCATAGCTGCAGAGGCAGCGCCCACGTGCTGCAGGGGCAGGCACGGCTGCAGAGACAGCGCCCACGGGCTGAAGGGGCAGGCACGGCTGTAGGGGCAGGCACGGCTGCAGGGGCAGGTACGGCTGCAGGGGCAGGCACAGCTGCTCGGGAGGGCGGCGCGCAGTCTGCAGAGGCAGCTCCCACGGGCTGCAAAGGCATGGAAGGGCTGCGCGCGTGCGGCGCGGGGCAGAAACGCGGGCAGCAGCTGGGGCGCTGCGACGGGCGACGGGCAGGGCGGCGCGCGGGCCCCCAGGGCGCTGCGACGGGCGACGCGCGGGTCCCTAGGGCGCCGCGATAGGCAGGGCGGCGCGCGGGCCCCCGGGGCGCCGCAACAAGCGACGGAAGGGGGCGGCGCGCGGGCCCCCGGAACGCCTCGACAGGCGACTGGAGGGGACAGCGCGTGGGCCCCCGGGGTGCCGCGACAAGCGACGGGAGGGGGCGATGCGCGGGCCCGGTGGTGTCGTGACGGGCGACGAAACCGCCGCGCGCGCTCGGGGCGCGCGGCGGGCAGAAAACCGCCGCGCGCCCTGAGCGCGGCGGGAAGAAAAAATGCCGCGTGCGCCGGGCGCGCAGCAGGCAGAAAACGTTGCACGCCCCGTGCGCGCGACAGGCAGGACAGCAACGGAAGCAGGTGGGCCCACAGGCAAGGAGCATTCTCGCTTTGATAGCATGTCGAGAAACGTTGGTAGAAAGTTAGAAACAAATAGGAGTTGCACTAGCAGCAGATAGGATACATATAGCAAACCCTAATTTGGGCTGTACTCACTATAGAGTATCCCACTGCAGACTAGACAATTATAGCATTCTGATAGAACTTTCACTTCGAATCTACCGAGATTTCCTCCCCACAATCTCGCTGTCGCCACGCAGGCGAATCTTCCGCTGCAAGTGGCCCGAGAGGTAAAACTCACTTTCTCGCCATAACTCGCCCCAACCTGTGATGTTCAAACGACCATTGAAACACCCAAATCGTCTAATAAAAAAACACTCTTACACTTAAATATGCCATCTATAACCACCCGGGTATGATATAGCATTTTTCGTTGAGAGGACCCCACCCCCCCCCCCTTTTTCTCCTGGTGGTTATCATAATACCCCCGGGTGTTATGTCCGGGAGAAGACGGTGTTACGATATGAAGCTATATGAAAAGGCATTCCTGTATGCTGCAGGAACCGACTCTACCGAGTACGAAGTCGAGGAGTCAGAAGAGTCGAAGCGACGCAGCAACTGTCTGACCAAGACCGATGCAGGCAGAAACATTTGAAATGGAAAGAGCGGGAACAGGTTTGAAATTGGTTCCCGCGCCGCACGGTTTGAATTCGCTGCAATAAGGGAATGTACCCCTTAGAGTTCATGGCTAGCCTAGGTCTTTTCGCATTCCTTTGTATTCCTATATAAATCCGATATATGCATGCTATTATCAACTCAGTTATTTACATTCACTCTGACCTACGATTCAAGCTTCCGCTGCAACACTACTCTGCGATCAACCCTGAGCAATCCTTAGCTAAGTCCCACTTGGGATTGTAACATGGTATGAGAGCTACTCAGGGATTTTTCGCAAACCCACTTCCGTAAAATTTGCCGAACCAAGATCTGGCGAGTGGCACACGCTCCAAGACCAAAGACCAAGATGGCCAGAGGATCCGGAGGCCAAACAAATCTAACGGCCGAAGGACAAACCAACCCGGCTGCGACAAATGAGGCGACAACTACGATCGGCACTGCCGCACTCGAACAGTTGTTTTCGCGACTATCAACCATGGAGAAAGAACTCCAAGAATTGCGCAAAGGCAATGCGGGAATCTCTTCCTAACCAGTTCAACCTGAAAAACCGGCCGCGAAAATTGTGATACCGCCGCGCACACCTTCTCCTTCGACACAGACAAATCAACAACCACAACCCCCCGTCCAAGTGATGAAATCATCAACTCTGCACAAGCACGCTTTCTCAGCGTTTCAAAAATCAATACTATTGCCGCTTTGACGGCAAGGATTTATACACATGGAGTTTCGAGCTTCAGCTCCTCCTACAGACTACGCAGATCTACCAATACTTCGACGGCTCCTACGCAAAACCGGTGGAAGACACTGACAACGCCAGGGCTTAGTACTATACCGAGTCCCTCATGGCGTACAGTATGCTGCTACGAAATATGATGCGTGCGGAACAACTAAACATCCGCTCCTACAAAGAGAGCGCCGCTCCAGCCTTGGAAGCACCTCATCGAGGTATACCAGCCGAAAGATTCGGTCACCGCCAGCAGGCTTCTGCAGCAACTCATGGAGACAAAGATGGGGCAAGGGGAGAAAGCAAACCCTTATATCAACCACTGTCGAAACATTCTTGATCAAATTACGAAGCATGGAAGCGCAATTTCGGAGAAGATCTTCGTCAATATCGTCCTCCAAGGACTTGGGCCAGTGTGGAAGCCTTGCAAAGCTCTACTCCGACAACGCGGAGTTATTTCCGAAGCCGCGCTATGCGTCGCCCTCCTGACTGAACAGCAGGACATGGATTCGAGCAGGACAAGCCCCGCACCGCGCCGAGAGCGCCTTGCCTTCTACGCAGACAACCGTGAAGAGCGACAACAGCCAACGCGCCATTATTGCAAAATATGCAAAGTCTTCGGGCACTTAACGGATCGATGCAAATCCCGATCCAACTATCGCCACCCGAATTCCACTCTCCATAACAACTGGGTCGGCCGACAAGACGCTCGTCATTCTCAGCCCCAACATCAGACCTCTCGTCCTCCTGCACAACACCAGCAACAACAACCACAAGGACCTCAAGCAGGAGCGCATAGAAACGTGATTGCAAACATGGCGACAAGGCGTCGCCCTCGCACCGCTGAACAAGACAAAGAGGAAGAACGTCGCGGTAACTTCATTCAACCTGAAGAAGGGTGGAACAACCCTCTCACAGGAAATCACTACTACCAGTATGACGAGGACGGGCAAGATTGGCATCAACCAATACAGCTGCGGGAAAGCCCGCCACACGAGCATCAGCATTTTGTACCCGTGGGATGGAAGGAAGACGAAGATCCCTCGTTCCACAGGCGCTACAAGGCAACAAAGGTGACGCTGCGACTCGCGCTACTTTTGCGCAACAACAACACTGACAATTACAACACCTGGTACCTCGACAGCTGCTGCGGCCAGCACATGGTGGGTTCTGTTCGATACGTCTCAAACATCAGCCGCGCCCCCTGTCAAACAATATATGTGTTGTATTTGTGTAGGCTACAGTGGGTTAGCCTTTAGGGGGTACATCATTTTAGGGTTAGGTACTTGTACTCCCATTTCCTTTCTAGTTCATCACTTCTCTCATTCTAACATGGTATTACGAGCCTAGGTTAGGAACCTAGGACCGATCGATTCTAAGGGCCCACCGTTCCGTTTCCTCCCTACCTACTAGCGCCCTCGTGCGCCCCTCCTTAACGGCCCCTTAAGGCCCCGCGACCCGCGACCCGCCCCTTAGCGACCCGCGCGCCGCCCCTTACCGGTCCCGTCGACCCCACGCGCCGCCCCTTAGAGGCCCCGGTGGCCCCGTCGACCCCGCGCGCGACTCGTCTAGAGGCCCAGCCGGCCCCGTCGACCCCGCGCGCGACCCGCTTAGAGGCCCCACTGGCCCCGTCTACCGCGCGCCGCTCCCCCTTAGCGGCCCTGCTGGCCTCGTCGACCCCGCGCGCCGCCCCTTAGCGCCCTGCAAACGACAGCAACGGCCCTGCCAGAACCAAGCCGCCCGCACGAGCCGAGCCGCGCCACCCGAACCGAGCCGCCCAAACCGAGCCGCCCGAACCGAGCCGCCCGAACCGAGCCGCCTGAACCGAGCCACGCCGCCCTCCCCGTACTGAACAGTCCTCTCTGGACCGAGCCGCCCTACTGCTGTTAGGGTTTGCCTACTGCTCCTACTGCTACTATACTGCTGCTCCTACTGCTGCTATGGCTAGCCCTCCTGTGCTAGCCTTCGATGCTGAGGGCCGTCCAGTGAAGTTTGACACCTGGCTAGATGACTTGCACCTCTTCCTACAGCTCACTGCCAAGGAGGACATCTCACTATACGATCACGCCCTAGGCCATGCCACTGCCCCTCCTACTACTGCCGACAGTATTGCCCGCTCACAGTGGCAGACTCGTGACACCCACGCTCGCTTTGCTATTCGCAACTCCCTGCCGATAGATGAGCGCGAGCACTTTGGCCAGCACAAGACTGCACAGGCACTGTACACTGCTGTCGTCGCTCGCTACTCCTCACCTGCCTCTGCCGCACTAGGCCGCCTCTCACTCCCCTACCTGTTCCCCGACCTGGCCTCCTTCCACACTATCGCTGACCTCATCAAGCACCTCCGTACTAGTGAGGCCCGCTTTCGTGCCGCCATGCCCGATGAGTTTCTTGCCACGAACCCCCCCCCGCTCTGGCTCACTCTCTACCACCTAGTCACCCGCCTCCCTAACACTCTACGTGCTGTCAGGGATCACTTCCTAGCTCGCTGCCCCACTGAGCTCACCATTGCCCTCCTCGAGAAGGAACTGCTTGCAGTTGAGGCTAGCATAGTCGCTGTAGGTGCCTCTCGTGGCGACCCCCGCACCCCTTTCTTTGAGGGGTGTTCCCCTTCCCCCCTTCTTCCCTCTGTAGCCTCTGCTTCTGCTGTCGACCTCCTTGGTGCTGAGAAGGTCGGGACTGCGTCTGCTTCGAGCGGGCGCCGCAGCGGCAAGGGCAAATGGGGCAAGGGAGGCGGAGGTGACGGCGGGGGAGGCGGTGGTGGGGGTGGTGGCGGCGGTGGGGGTGGTGGTGGGGCTGGGGGGACTAGTGGCAGTGGTGGGGGTGGTGGCGGCAGCGGCGGGGGAGGCGGCAGGGGCGGGAGTGGTGGTGGGGGCGTCGGTGGACGCGGCGGCGGCAGGGGAGGGGGTGGTCAAGGAGGTGGCGGCGGCGGTGGTGGTCGTGGAGGCGCTTGCAGTGGCCAGAGCCTGCAGCACACTTCGTCGCCCGAGGAGCTCCGTGAGTGGTACGCTCAGCACGGGGGGGGGGGGGGGGGGGGGGGGGGGGGTGGCCTTAGCTGCACGTACGTCATCCGCACTGGTGACCGCACTGGTCAGAAGTGTGGGAGGGCGCACCCCACGCAGCGCTGCTTCTCACGCCTCGACGACGCTTGGCGTACTCTGTTCCCTGATGCCACTGAGCTGCCCCGCTGGGCTGATCTGATAAAGCAAAACATTGATATCTTTGCTCTAGACTTTGATGCTATTCTGGCTGCCATGTATGTGATGTCTATTAGTGGAGAGGGTGCTCAGTACCTGCGTGTTCTGCCCGACCCGGGCATTCGAACCGGTGAGGCTGCCGCTCTAGGTGCTAGAGTGTCTGCTACCGCAGGTGCTGGTGAGGCTGCTGCTCTAGGTGCTAGTGCATCTGCGCCCCCTGGTACTGAGTCGACTGAGGCACTGCACACCTTAACACTAGACTCAGGTGCCTCCCGCTGTTTCTTTCGTGACCGCACGGCTGTTGAGCAGCTTGCTCAGCCCGTTGCAGTCTCTCTCGTTGACCCCTCCGGGGGTCCAGTCCTTGCGACCTCCTCCACTGTCCTCCCCTGTCCGGCAATCCCGTCGGGCACACTCTCAGGTCTCTACCTCCCCTCGTTCTCTACGAACTTGGTGGCGGGTAGTGCGCTCCAGGACGGGGGTGTCCACCAGTTCACCCCTGCCTACGAGCGCGTGACACACTGCACGTGTGCTCGGACGGGCCGTCACCTGGCGACCTTCACACGGCAGCCGGGGTCGGACCTGTACACACTGACTACTGAGTCCCCTCAGGTAGCTGCGTCTGCGTCAGGTCAGCTGTCGGCCCCCTGCTCGTGTCGCTCTCTGGCGCACAAGACCTTCCTCTGGCACCACCGACTTGGTCACCTGTCCGTGCAGCGCCTTTGGGCCATGCACAAACGGTACCTTGTCTCTGGTCTTCCCAGAGTTCTCCCTCCCCTCCCACCCTCGCCTGCTCCTCCCTGTCTTCCCTGTGTCGAGGGGCGGCAGCGCGCTGCTCCTCACTCCTCCTCGTTTCCCCCGACGACTGCTCCCTTGCAGACGCTCCACATGGACGTGTGGGGCCCCGCCCGCGTCTGTGGTCAGGGTCAGGAGAGGTACTTCCTGATAGTTGTTGACGACTACTCGCGCTACACCACGGTCTTCCCCTTGCGCACCAAGGGTGAGGTCCCTGATGTTTTGATCCCTTGGATCCGCGCTTCTCGTCTCCTGCTCTGCGAGCGTTTCCACTCGGACTTTTCTGTCCTGCGCTTGCACTTGCCACCTACGTCACCGTCGCCAACAATGAACAACTACGCGCCAACGCGCAAGGCATCGTGGTACTACGAGCACGAGACAGCCTCACTCATATCTCGTTCAACGACATGCTCTTCGTACCTGACATCCGCTTTAACCTACTGTCAGCAGGACAACTCCGAGACCGCGGAGTCATGCTCGCCACAGTCCCAGCTACACGCGACCTCATCCTCACCTTCGCTCCGCCGGACACTCCTCCCGAGTCGCAAAAATACCTCGGAAGAGCTCGCTTGATCAACGGCATCTACGTTATGGACTTTGACATACGGAGCTGTCAAGCTTCATCAGACGAGCTTGTTGACTTGGTCCCCCTTGACTTCCCCTTCATGAAAGTGGAGTCGTGGAAGCATCCAGATGGACGACCGTGGATCCGTAGCAGTCCTCACCCTCATGAGATAAATCTGCACCAGCCCGACACCACCGGCCTCTGCACCACCTGTCACACACCCACGGCAAGTCGCACAGAAGAAGTAAAGAGAGACATTGCGGCAATCCAAGAGGCGGAAAGCGCTAAAGCAGAGCCCATAGGCATGACAGAGATGGAACTCGCCGTCACCACACATGGCATCTTCGGCGAAAAGAACGAAGAGATCGGACAACTACGGCAGGAGCGCCCAACGCCGCGCTCAGGCACGTTACGCTTCATCCTCGAGGCCAACACCGGGACCCTCGAAGAGGAGAATCGCCCACGCCCATACACCCGTGACACCTACCGAAGGGAGATCGACAGGGCGTGGAAGAATCCTGACGCAAAGGAGGAGCTGAGCGTCAAGGAGGAAGAAGACAAAGCAAAAGCCGAGAAGAAGCAGAAGCTGTACGAGGAGCGCGTAGCGGCAGGATGGGACGAGGAATTAGCATGCCGTGGTGCATGGGGAGATGAAGATTACATGCCAGAAGAAGGCGGAACATGGGCATCCGCAATTGGCACATGGGGAACCGGAGGAAGCGGCTGGAGTAACACAGGAGGATGGGGGGATCCCGAACCCGCCGAAGGAGAGATCACGCAGGAAGAACTGGAAGAAGTCGAACGAGAGATGCAAACCGAACGTGGAGAACAATCCCCACGAGTCATCGTTCCGCTTGGACTGTCAAACTTATATGCTGCTTATTGTGTAGGCTGTAGTGGGGTAGCCCATATGGGGTACAACCCAATTAGGGTTTCCTACTTGTACCCATCCTGCTGCTAGTTCATCCACTCCTGTTCGTTATACTGACATGGTTTCAGAGCAGGTCCTAGCCTAGGACCGATTTCTTAGGGCCCACCGAGTGGCGCTACCCCACCCGTCGCGCCACTGTGATCGCGTCGCCCTGCCCTGCCCTGCACTACGTCGCGCTGCCTGCGCACGCTCTGCCCTACCCACGCGCCACCCGCTGCAGCGCGCACTGCTTTGCCCGCGCGCCGCCTGCTGCAGCGTGCCCTGCTGAGTCGTGCGCTGCCTGCTGCAGCGCGCCCTGCCCTGCCCGCGCGTCGCGCCACCGCGCACGCCCTGCCTGAGTGCCGAGCTGCCGCATCGCCCTGCCCGCGTGTCGCGCCGCTGCAGCGCGCGCAGCCCTGCCCGCGCGCTGCCTGCGCCGAGCGCCTTGCCCTACCCGCGCACCACGCCGCCACGCACCTTGACCTACACGCGCGGCGCGCCATCGCGTGCCCTGCCCTGCCCGCGCGCCGCGTCGCGCGCCCTGCCCTCCCCGCGCGCCGGTTGCGCAGCAAGCCCTGCCCTGCCCGCGCGCCGCACAGCTGTGCACCCTCCCCTCCCTACAAGCCGCGCAGCCGCGCTCCTTGTCCTGCCGCGTGCCCTACCTGAGCGCCGCGCCCTGCCCTGCCGCGCACCCTACCCTGCCGCGCGCCCTACCTGAGCGCCGCGCCCTGCCCTGCCGCGCGCCCTGCCCTGCCGTGCGCCCTGCCTTGCCACGTGCCCTGCCCTGCCACGCGCCTTGCCCTACCACGCGCCACTCACTGCTGCACTGTTGCTAGTGCGCGCGCCTGCTCTGCCCGTTATGGCCACTCTCAACGTTCTCACCTTCGATTCGGAGGGCCGTCCGATAGAGTTCAATGCGTGGCTAGACGACTTACAGCTGTTCCTGCTTACAGACGCTAAGGATGGTATCTCGCTATTCGACCTCACGTCTGGCGCCTCTCTCGCCCGTGCCGCCACAGCTGACAGTGCGACTTGCTCACAGTGGCTTACCCGTGACGCTACTGCTCGCCTAGCCGTTCGCAACCACCTGCCGTTAGCCGAACGCGCCCACTTTGGCCAGCATAAGACAGCAAGGGCACTGTACAACGCTGCAGTCGCTCGTTACTCCTCCCTGACCACTGCTACTCTAGGCCGCCTTCTGCCCTACCTATTCCCAGAGCTGTCTGCCTTTACCACAGTAGCCGACCTCGTCACTCACCTCCGCACTAGTGACACTCGCTACCGTGCTGCGCTCCTCGCCAAGAACCCCCCCCCCCCCCCCCCCCCCCCCCCCCCCATGTACATCGCACTCTACTTCATAGTCACCCGCCTCCCTGACTCTCTTACCGCATTCAAGGACCTCCTTCTCGCCCTTGACCCCACCGACCTCACTGTCAACCTGCTTGAGAAGCACCTCCTAGCAGCTGAGACTAGCATAGTTGCTGTAGGCGCTTCTCGTGGCACTCCTCGCACTCCCTTCTTTGAGGGTTGTGCGCCCTCTCCCCCTTCTTCCCTCTGTCGCCTCTGCTGCAGCTGTTGACTACCATCTTGCTATAGAGGTAGGAGCTGCGTCTGCCCCTAGTGGGAGGCGCCGCAGCTGCAGGGGTAGGGGAGGCATGAGCGGTGGGGGTGGCAGAGGTGGAGGCGCTGGTGGGGGCGCTGAAGGAGGTGGAGGGGGCGGCGGTGGAGGAGGTAGTGGTGGTGGGGGTGGAGGTGCAGGTGACGGCGGTGGTGGTGGCAGTGGGAGTGGTGGAGGTGGCGGTGGTGGCGGCAGTGGGAGTGGAGACGGCGGTAGTGGTGGTGGCCAAGGTGGTACCAGCCAGAGGGGAGGCCTTGGAGGTGGCCAGAGGCAACAGCAGCGTCAGCCCCTTTCGTCTCAGGAGCTCTGTGAGAGGTTTGCTCAGCGTGGGGTGGTTGGGGGTGAAGGTCGCTGCCCGTATGTCATTCGCATAGGTGACCGCACTGGTCAGACATGCGGGCAGCCTCACATGCAGCACCGTTGCTTCTCTCGTCTTACCGACACCTTTCGCGCAGAGCTTCCTGACGCGCCTGAGCTCCCTCACTGAGAAGAGCTGCTTAGGCAGGGTGTGGAGGGCATTCGCCAGACGTTCACGCTTCCGGCCTCTCTGCAACAGAATGGGGCTGCTGAGCACCGCATTGGCTTAGTCATAGAGGTCGCTCGTACCTCCATGATCCATATGGCTGCCCCCCATTTTCTGTGGCCGTTTGCAGTCCAGTACGCTGCGCATCAGCTCAACCTCTGGCCCCGTGTCTCCTTGCCGGAGACCTCGTCCACACTACGTTGAAAGGGGGAGGTTGGCGATGCGTCGGTGTATCGGGTTCGCCGATATCGAGCCTTTGTCAGCGATACCTCTGGCTTTCCCCCTGACGCGCATGGCTGGCAGTTTTACCACCCCACCTCGCGCTGTGTCTTGCTTTCTCAGGACGTCACATTTGACGAGTCGATTCCCTTTTACCGTTTCTTCCCCTACTGCACTGCCCCTCTCCCTCCCCCGCTGCTCTTCCTAGCACCAGGTCCTCCTCCAGTAGACCCCCTCCCACCTCAGGGTCCTGCTCCCTCAGGTGTGTCCCATGTAGACCCTATCGAGCCTGTCGAGGTAGCTGTAGACTCTGGTGCTGCTAGAGGTGCTGCGTCTGGGGTTGCTGCGCCTGTGGGTGCGGGGCCTGGGAGTGCTGAGCTTGAGCGTGCTGAGCTTGGGGGTGCTAAGCCTGAGTGTGCGGAGCCTGGGGGTGCTGAGCCTGAGCGTACTGCGCTTGGGGGTGCTGAGCCTAGGGGTGCTGAGCCTGGGGGTGCTGAGCGTGGGGGTGCTGAGCCTGAGCGAGCTGCGTCTGGAGATACTTTGTCTTTCTTGTCACGTTGGGAGACACCCTCTCCACCGCAGCTGCGCGAGTGGTTTGCTCGGCGCTGGAGCCTCCGGAGTGGTGCTGCTGGAGCTGGAGCTGTAGCTGCGGGAGGTGCTGGAGCCGCTGAACCTGGAGGTGCTCGTACTAGAGGTACTAGAGCTGCAGGGGCAAGAGGTGCTGCTGGTATTGGAGCTGCTGGAGCTGGAGGTGCTGCTGGAGCGGGAGCTGTCACGCTAGCGTCTTAGTTAAGAAACCAGTTTAACTTAGGGCCTAGGCTTAGTAGCCTAGGCCAAGCGGGTGTCGAGTTGGTTGTGCAAGGGAGAATTGAGAAATGAGGGGCTTCACTATAGGTTTGCAAGAACATATAGCAAAGAAACAAAGAAGGTGCACCACCAAACAAATAATGAAAGAACTACACTACAATAACTACTGCAAGCATGATATATATTAAATATAACTTTAACAGGAGCTGCTGGATTAACTAGGGCTGCTAGAGCTGGAGGTACTGGAGCTGCTGGAGGTACAGGAGCTGATGGAGCTGGAGGTGCTGCTGGAGCTGGAGCTGCTGGAGGTACTAGAGCCGCTGGAGCAGGAGGTGCAACTGGAGCTAGAGGTGCTGCTGGAGCTCGAACTGCTGGAGGTGCTGCTTGAGGTGGAGCTGCTGGAGGTACTGGTGCTGCCGGTGCTGGTTCTGGAGGCGCTGTGCGGCCGCGACCGTACTTCGTTCCACTACTTCAATAGGTTCTTGGTCTCCCGCCTTCTACTAACCTTACTCCTCCCTTACTGTGTCCACCCACTGACCGGTCCTAGCCGTAGTTATAGCCATCCTCCCCCATGCCTACTCCCTCTCCTTACACTAAGCAGCTCGGAGGTCGTACTGAGCGTCGTGAGCATGCGTTGTGAAAAGGAAACGAGGAATGATTGCACTGAGCAGCATGAGGAGTACAAGTACCAAACCCTAAAGTGTTATACCCCATATAAGCTACCCCACTATAGCCTACACAGACTATAGTATATAAGTTTGACACACCCCCATAGGCAAAGTGGGGGAGAGCAAGGGGTCACAAGACCAGTCAAGCAAAGCAAGGCAAAGCAAGCTCAGGGTGGATCACAACGTCACCACACATTCCGAGCAAAAGTTCAAGGCCACAAGGCCAGTTCACATGCAAGATTACATACATATAAGGCTAAACAAGCAAGAGCAGGTATATATATATGTAACAGTACAAACAAGGTCAAGAAGTGAGCAAGTGAGGCAAGGTAGGCACAAGGCCCAACTGAGTACAGAAGCGCTGATGATCACAAGGCGCGAGTGCCTTGGTGAAGATATCAGCAGTGTTGGCCTGAGAGGCCACGTACGCAAGTCGCAGCTGACCACGCTGCTGTAGCTCACGAGCTAGGAAGTAGCGAAGAGCAATTTGCTTCGTTCTGTGCTCCAGTCTCA